TTTTTTTTTTTCCCCTAACGAGAAAGCAAACTTTAAATCATGCAGATTTAATTAGAGCAGTAAAACAATAAGGTAAAGAAGTTAAAACTTATCATTCAGAATTACCAGGTTTTCAGCTTTTCCCCGCCCCCCCCCCTCACTTTCAGACATAACTGCAGAGACTCAACTTCAAAGGAGTGCAAACAAATACTTCCTTTTTGTGATTCACCTTAAGTTTAATGATAGTAAAGAAGAACACAGTGCCTTAATTTAACCTGGAAGATTCCCTCCTGTCTGAAGCTCCTACATGTTAACCCTAAAACCTATCATAATCTAAAATAAAACTACTTTTACTGCAGTAAGTATGAAGCACTTAACAGTTTGAGGGAAAACTTTATTTATTGTTACTGAAAACATAATATTGATCATGTGCTTAGCCTCCACAACCTTAGGATTCTTCATGATTTTGAAATATTTAATCTTTTTTGTCAATATAATGCAGTTAGTCTGGCAATATTTTTTTTTTTCTAATGTTTCATTAAGAACTAATAAAGACTCCAAAACATTAAATAGATTTATGTTCTGCAAATTATTTTGGAATAATTAACTTACCATAGGAGACAGCAATTTTATACAAAGAATTAAAAGCCAAGAAAATGTGGACCTTCTAAGCCTGTAACTATGTGTTTAACTGCTTATGAAAAGAAAGCCTGACTACTTTGAGAAATGGAAAAAGTCTGTGCACTATTGCCTGCATGCTGAAATTTCAAGTTGGTACTCTGATCTCTATGGATCCAGATTTTTTCCCTTTGAAATACTCAATTCAGGATTTTTCTTAAATGGAAGTACTTAAGATTTCTACTATTTTGCTTTGTTTAATTCATACATGTATTTTACATTAGGCATTTAAATCCACTGATCTCGAATTTTCGTATTTCCAATTATGTTTATAGCATCTCAGTGCCTGCCATACAAATGTAGTTACAATAGTTAAATGGATTTGGAGATTTTATTTTAAAAGCTATGTAAAATGTTTAAAAGCATATACATATGAAACAGTACTAACAGAGAGGAAAGAGATTCAAATAACTTTAAATTAGTACTAACAAAATCGATACTGATGAAATCAAGCTGATTATATGTTTATAGGTAAGTTTGCTTCTGGTAAGGTTTATAATTAGTTTTAGATAACTACATAATTCCCAAAACTTTATTGACAAAGCTCTTTTTATTGCCAGTTTCTACAAGGCCCAAAATGTGGAGCACATAAAAGCCAAGATATACATACCAATAATCTATCCAGTCTTTCTTTATTCAGGGCACCAATTGGTTTACTAAGGTCACGGAATGTTTCAGGCTTTGTCAGATCTAAAAAAACCCATAGTGAAAGGCATTGTTTCTACTATACAGGAATACATTCTAATCAGTATTTAAAAACAGACAAACAAAACAAAAAACCAACACAGAACTCTTCTAGTAATTTCCTCTGCTATAAATGGCTACTCATCTCCTTCCTCCAAGTAGGCTTAATCTCAAATCTCTTGCTTAAGAACTAGTAGTTACATATATGAGATAGCTATTGCAACTAATATCACCTAGTCAATATAGAGCCTGCTACCAGAGGCACAAAAGCAGCCAGTATCTTCCTTCTATTCATTAACTATTCTGTCATGCTACAGTTAAGCCCCACCAAACCACACTGGAGTGTTTGAGGCAGTGCTGATGAATATGATGAGACTCCCCTACTCCACTCCCTGTGGAGGGACAGAACCCTCAAAAGAACAAGCTTCCAACACATATTGCACAAAGAGCCTTGATTCAGGCACAAGCCTTGTTAGCCTCTTACTTTCAACTTGTAATGCTAAGAACTGTAAAAGAACACCTGGATTCTACATATTTGAATGCATCCAGCTTGTTCCATAAAAGGCCATTTTATGGCTTCTTTTGCATTTATTGGAATCACAGAAAGTGCTTGAATGCTCAAGACTGCAGATTTTCAAAGTGACCAAGCAGATACCTGGTACATACTCTGTATGCAATGAGTGAAATATTTAACAGAAAAAGGTGAGGTATTTTGTCCACTAAACTCCAGAGTAAGGGTAAGCACACAAGAAAACACCCAAGATTGCTTGTGTTTGTGGTGCATTTTCATGTACCACAAACTTTACACAGTGTAAACCTGCCCCCAGATATTTCAGATCAGACATGACACACTAACATGCCTTTTTTTGTATACACATACCTAATACTGAACTAGAGTAGTCTGCTATGATCCATGGAAATACAGGATACTGGGAGAGATCGTTGCAGCTCCTGTCAGCCAGATTGTTGAGATGAAGAAGATACTGGTAGTTTGATATGTGTCCTCGCTGCCATTGCAACATATAACTTTCAGCTGTATGCTCTGTTATATGATTTTCTAAAAGAAAACATTAAGAGTTTTGAAGTTTGGGGTTCTACTCCCAAATTATACAGCCATTAACATTATGCAACATACTATAAAAAAATAAAGGGCAAAGTTGTTTAAAATAACAAGTCAGAATTAAGTGGTATGTTTATGTCTCAATAGCTACCATACTCTGTATGTTTTGAAAGATCTATTCAAATGCGCCTAAATTGCATTCAATTAAAAATCATGCAAAGAGTGTTGAAACCAAACATGGAAACAATGGATGGGAAAGAACTTTAAAATTTATAGAGGTATAGAAAAATATTTGCAGATCATGAACAGCTCTCTTGACAATCAGGCAATTTTTAAGATTTCAAATTTCTACTGGTTGTGCTAGAGTCAAGAAAAAAAATAAATATATTTTCCTACTGGACAACTAAGGCTGTTCACTAAGAATGACTTGTGGAAAGAGGCCACATTTGTATGTAAGTAGGATGTAGTTTCAGAACCACTGAAACAGAGACTAAAGGAAGACAAAACTTGACCATCAATAAAGAAAGTAGGAATTATGCACCTGTAGCTTCTCTTTGAAGCATTAGGCAGGGGAACAACAAATTCAAAACTGCACTACACTCTACTCAATAGCTGTAATATAAAGGTATGTTGCTGGACAAGAAAATGACCTGGGAATATTGATTTCATTCTACCTCTCAAATTTAAAATTAAATTAAAGAGGTAACGTCATTATCTTTGTCTGTCCTGTGAGTGGCGGGTTTATCAAGAGAAAAGAGGTAGGGAGTAGTTTTGCACAGACGGTGTTTTATTGTTTGTTTGTTAGTTTTTTAATTGTTCCTTCTATTGATCCAGTTTACAGCACCTTGGTAAGTGTCTGAAATAGCAGAACTGAAGGACTGCAACCATGGCACGATGGCAAGAAACCGTTCAACCAGCCTCCTCATGAAGTAATCACAGTAAAACTACACCCTTGCCATACAAAACACATATGCATGCTTGTTTTACTGCATCTGTGTTACAGGCTGCTCTTCCTCCTATTTAAAAGTCTTTAAATATCTTTTAACACCATCGCTGCTGAAGGCTACAACACAAAGCTAAAGAATTAGGATTTCTAGGGAACATCAAATGAGTGAAGTATTATCACTAGAACTATTAACTAGAAGGAAAAGAACTGAGTTTAGGATGTAGCAGGCCTCTATTTTAGCTCAGCATGGGCTGGAAAAACAAATTCCTACCCTCCCTTCATCTTAGTACCTCAAATTCTACAAGTAAAAAGAGTTAGCACATTCAAAGAGAGGATATTCTGCTGTCAGAGACAGCTACCAAGGGGCTAGAAACACCTTTAGAGAAAGGGCTTGACCTTTTTTTATTTCTAAGCTCCAGCAACATCATCATCTTCATCTGCACCTTGAAATGTCACCTTTGAAAGTTATCCAGAAAACAAAATCTGAAGCAGAGTGACATCATGCAGTTATTTCAATAACAGAGAAAATAATGTCAGAATCTATTTCTTCTAAATCTAAAAGACTAAAACGATTCTCTGAGGGAGTGATTGCTTTCCACTTTGCTTTGTGAAGTGGGGAAAATGTCAACTGATATTTAGCCAAATTAATTCAAACAGAACTAGAACTCTGGTACAATAACAAAATATTAAAAGTTTTACATAAACACTTTCAATACTGGCAGCAAACATGGAGTTTCAATGTTTTAGTTGAAATAGCATGACAGAAAAAATATTAGCTTTTTCTCTTTTTTTTTTTTTTCCCCCAGTAAACACACTAGCCTTTTCGAAAGTTTTGCTCATGATCTGCAAAAGATATCTCTCACTTCCTAGGAATTAATGTATACAAGGTTTAACAGAAATGAGAATTTAACTGTTTCAGAATGGTAATTTCAATCAAGCACTGCTAAGACTGAGTAAAGTTCAGGTATTTATGTGCAGACTGGAAATCCATCCATTACGGGAATTTTCTCAGTATGATTTTTACTTTGACTTAACCAGCAGACAGTGATCTGCCCACAAGTCAGTCTATATTCTTTCAGAAAAAACAGAATTAGGTGAGTGGATCTTATTTATCCCTTGCTTTGAAGATAAAGTGTTTTGTGGTTTGTCTTTTGTTTGCTTCATTTGTTTTGGATGGGTTTTTTGGGGGGCATTAAATGACAGTGCATATCAAGTTGTGAATCAAAGCAATTAGCTTCATTTTAATCACGCTATCTCAGCTTTCATACTCAGCTCTTCAAACACAAACAGAATGTATGCAACTTCACAACATTCATTCTGAACTTTGCTTCCTTCTATCAAAAATTTTTAGGGCTAATACATCTGTTTATTTTTCTCATTCTTCCCACAAATCAACAGAGCAAAACCCAGACAAATTTCCCCTTACAAGGAACTACAGTCTACATTAATAAATAAATACTGCAAACCTATATATGTTGCAATAAGGAAATAGAGCTCATCTCGATCTTGATAGTTGTAGAATTTCAAGTAGATGTCAGAACATAGATCGTTCTCTGTGCAAAATACTTCAAGTCCCTTAGAAGTTAAAAGGAGGGAAAAAGTAAATGAGAGCAATTACTGACAAGCTGTAATATTCATGTTTTTTAACAAAACATTCCCGTTACTAATATCTAAAACTTAAGACTCTAAACTGGGTAGCAGTTTTGCCTACGAAGTCTAACATTTTGATCTTTCCTATTTCCAACCACAAAAGCATTCATTTTACACCCAACTGAGCAAATATAGATTTATAGCTGCCCACAGAATGGTTCTGTCTAGATTTATTAAGCACAGGTAATACACTTTTTTTTTACCCTAAGTGAATGGAGTGAGGCAGAGTTACATTTAGTCTATTTAGTTTAAATGTTTTTTTTGAGACAAAAATTTTGTCAAGACTCAAACTTCAGTGCAAGCACTGAAAACATAGAACTGAGGTTCCACTGCAGCACTCTCATCACCCCTCAGTCATGTACAGTGGGACCCATCACTCCACATTAGTCCCAATCTGAACCAGTGATCAAGCTCCCTTCATGAATCAATCCAGAGAGAAAATACACCATGAGAGAGCAATTCATTCTATCCCAAGACAGGTGTTTGAGATAAATGGAATGAACTGCTCCCTGGAGGTACTCCCTTCTCTCTTCCCCTACACTGACTGCATAGGAAAGAAATTTTTCATCCTTGACAGAGTTCACTCTTCCCATTTTCATCTTTTTGAGAACAGAGTGAACTAAACCACTTGAAAACCAGAAAAAAAATCTTTGAGTGCTGTTCACTACTTAATCCAGAGTTTTTAAAAACATGTAACTTTTACTTAATGACGCACATAGTTTCAGGTGGTCATTTTAAGAAACAATATATACAGCAAGACATGGAAAAAATATATTTGAGCTTACCAGTGGCATTAGGCCATGTCTTCTTTTATAGATGCGGCGCACATTCTGCAGTGTTATTTGTACTACTGGTTTCTGTGGGGGGGTGAGGGAGTGGGAAGAAAAGATGGAGATATTATATAAGGTATATGCTCTTCTACATTAACTTCTCCAGTCAATCTGAAGTTTCTCTTGATTACAGATATTAGCAATATGAAAACAACATCCATCCATGTCATTTCAGCAGTGGAGCAGTGGTATTAAGCAGTTAGGTTAAAAAGAAGAAGCCTGTTTTTTACTGTTGGTTCTTGTCTGAGTAGCAAAGCAGTTTAAGAATAAAAAAAAAGAATAGTGTATTATCACCCAACTCTGCTGCCAGTTATAATAACCATGCAAGAGAGGACCAGAACACAAGAAACCATATTAAAAATAAGGAAGCCATTGGGCTGCTGGGCAAGTTATTTGCCAATGCTGCCACCCAGTGGACGGAAATTTAATAGCATTTTATCATCACCCGTGAAACACATTTTCCTTGTCTGGACACACTTTTATCGTGTTAGAAGCCTGCTAAGACTATCGTTGGTATTTTTGTGACAAAAGTTCTAAAGCAGTAATCTGTCTGCGACATGCACTGAGTTTTTCTCTAGAGAAAGAAATGACCAGTTTAACAGAAAAGCTAAGATCTTCCAATATAAACTAAATGTACATAAAGCTCTCACTAGGTAGGAACAGCATCACGTAGCAAGATTAAGAAATTTATCTTAAATCAAATGTCACTAAAAGTTTTCTTTAAATAGCAATAGGGAATAAATAAAAGACATTTTGTGCTTTGTCAGTAGGAGGTCAACTTTAAGCAAGTTAGAACAGAATGAAGCCTCAGAAACAGAGATACACAGATCAAAGGAAAACAAAAGAGCTTCTGATTATAACTGAAAATAGAGTCTTCTTGGAGATGTGCTCCATGTGAGTGTAAGAGGAGTAATACAGAAAATGAAAAGTGCCCACTAGAGAGGCAGCGTGCTCACATCGTATGCAAGAACATTTATGAGGCACTTACAGGATATCCATTAAGAGGCTGGAAGTACAAGTTAGCATCAGTAACACACACATGCCCTGGATTAGTCACCAGTGGTGTCACCATTTCTGCTTTACATTCCATATGCAGCGTTTCAGAAATGCTTTGAAATCTACAAGTGAAGAAAAGGAGTAAGTTTACCTCCAGTTCTTACTAAGGTAGAGCTACCCTTAAATTCTTCAGAAAGGTTTTAGGTTAGCTTATAATCTTGGGACACCAGATTGGGGACTTCACTAAGCCTGTTTTAGACATGAAGAAATTCTTTGTTGAGACCTCTACTTTAACAGGCACTCCAGAAAGGAAAGTTGCTACGTCCCGTATCACTCTAAGAGCAGCAAGCCAGTTGACTTTTCTATTCAGAGCTTTATTTGGCATATACTGAAGCCTAACTTGCAACAAATTTGCAGATAAAAGGAACAGTTTGGAGAGATAAAAAATAATAAGTTCATCTTCACAACACAGAATTTCCCATTTTCCATTTCAGATGGTTCAGCAGGCAAAGAAGATCACTCTCTGAGTCAGAGAACTTATGCTGCCCCAAACAAGTACCTATTAAGTACTAATGCAGTAGTCTAATCAAACAACAAGCTGAAAATAATTTCCCAGTAGAAAGTGATTAGAAAGATACCTGTTTTTATCAAATGAAGTTCTAGCCAAGCGTGATTGCAATATAGCAGTTATCTAAAGTGGAGGGAAAAAAAAGTTAACATGGTCTATGAGTCAAATGCAACTAGAATTTTATTATTAAATAGTGATATTAGAAATAATCAGACACTTACCATTGCAGCTTGATCTCCCATCTTATCTAAGCAAGAAGCCCTGTAAAGCTAAAGAACAGTGAGCTTTAAGTGAAATAGCGAGATCTCCCACACAGCTCAGAAGTCAAGAGAAACTGAGAAAGCTTTAGTGTTCTTGGTGACAGAGTACTAAAAGAGCTATTTCTGTTTATTTTTAAAGCAGGACATGTTTGTTCATTGCTACTATCATGTTATTACTCTGTATACTACTAGCCTGCACAGTAAAAGTTAATATGGGTAGCTTATCACAACTGTCAAAACTAGATGCTGTTTTTCAACTGCTACATTTTCAAAATAGGTACTCCAAGAATTTATAAATATTTAAACAAAGCACTCCATTAAATATCAAAAAAAGAAGCTGTGATGAAGTGTGTAGTGATATCAAATAACCACATACCTGATGTAGAGTTTGTACAACATCTCCTAGTTTCCCAGCAACATCCAGTTGGAATAAGTGTTCTGTTCCACCCTAAAAACAAAAGTACATTTACTATAAATGAGTTTAAAATAAAGCTCAGTGAAAAAAAACAAACAACAAAACCAAACCTAAAATAGAAATACTCTAAAACCTGGTCAAAGTATGGTATCAAAGGTTGCAGTATAACTGAATCATTCCAAAGGCAGATGTTAAAACAGTTTTGCTTTGTTTTTTTTTTTTTTTTTTAATTTACAGATATATCTTCCATATGGTAAGCTCTTTGTGCAATATTTAGTCTGTTATTTAATACAATGCAATATAATAGCTACGAAGTGAACACATTCATTTACTGTAAACATCAGTAAATGTAGAACTAGTATCTGCTGTCTGTTTTAATATAACATAAACACATGTAAACATAGAACTAATAAACGCCACCTTAGATTTAAACAGCTACTGTATATCTTTTAGACAAAAGATACCAGCCCAACAAATCTTTAAAGACTAGGCTATAAAAATGATCATTTTCCTCTACATAAGTAGTTTTGAGCTGAAAAGATCCCAAATCCAATCACAACCTGTTTTGATTAGTCATTTACAACAACTTCACTAACACATCAGCAAGCATATGTGGCATACTCAATTTTTCCCCTACAAAGTTTTCCCAGGTTTCTTAAGTGTTGTTTCATAGTACGTATTTCTGGTTTTGACTTAAGTATATTAAAAGTATGTGTATTAATCAACTGAAATTAACTCTCACGCATAATTCATATTTAGCAAAGGTGGTGGGATCCCTTGATGAGCCCTGAATATAGTATAAAATGGTATCAACATGTCTGTAGGGTTTTGTAATTTCTCAGGTTAGGCTTTAAAAAAAAAAAAAAAAAAAAGAAAAAGAAAAAGAAAGAAGACATGGAAATCTAGATGACCTTCAGTGTAATGTATGTGATCTGAGCTGAACTGACAGCAATCCAAGAGGAAAGCATGTTTCAGGAAGCAAATGGAGCTGGAATAAAGGCAGACAAGAAATCCAGTAGCAATTTAGATAAAAGCATTGTAACATTTCACCCAGAGCACCATTTTCCTTCAACAGGGAAAGCACAGCTCTCAGAAATCCTAGTGGATGGTCTACAACAATTGCTTACAGCCAACAACGTAAAAGCCTTTGTGAGCAGTTCTCTCTGTAGCTCTCCAGCCATATGCAAAGACAACAGCTCAGCATTTTGTAATTGATCTGAAACAATCAGTGCAAGACATGGGAGATAAAATGTACTACGGAACTCCACCACTCAGTGACACACCTGGAACTGGCAATGATTCGAGTCGAAGATATTTAGCAGCAACAGAAAAAAATTCCAAAGTGACTGAAGGCAAACTAGATTTCTTGTTTTAATGTGCAGAAACATAGCTGCACTTCTTGAAGTAAATTGTAATGGTTAACTGTCAGGAATGTTTTAGGTATGAATGAATCTTTACTTGGGAGAAAATAAAGTGAAAAACCTTCCACAAAGCACTTTAGATTTTCTTTTTCACTGTGTTGGTAATGTGATATATGTACAATACTTAATAAATCTTGCACATGGAGGCAAAACAGAAAATAGGAGAATTATAAGAGAAAACAGGTTCGACATGTGAAGAATTAATGGCATAAAACAAATAAAATAATCAGAAAGCAATCAGAAGTAAGCACCAATTTCTGGTGTAAGCAGCCTTATCTGCCATTTCTTTGAACTGTGAAGCACTCGGCTGGGAAATATCAATCAGCAGTGTCTCATCTGAGGTGTGAGCAGAACTGAGGAGAAGTCACTTAGCCAGGATGCAGTGACCACTGAATACCAGTAGCCAGCTGACAGCCCTGACTGTTGAGCCCACAGAGCTGCGCATCAAGGTAAATAGCAAGTGTCAAGTCTGCATTACGTACTCCAAGAAGTATCACAAACTTGTTATGGAAGAATTCAGACACTTGTTTTATCAATATGCACTTTTTCTTAAGCATTAGTGTCATATTCCTCAAATTATAATTATCTTCCTCTTTCAGAAATGAGAGCATAAATCCTTGCAAAACAGTAGTTTGCTAAGAATAGCGAAAAAAATATATACTTACTCTTACTGTTTTATAAGGTGCAATAATGTTTCTTTCTTTAATGAGAAAAACCTGAAAGAGTAAGAGATGTTACAGTTTCAGTCTTTAAAAACTAATAAAATAAATCAGCAGGACTAATAAAGACAAAGCTAAGAATGCTGATTAAGCAAGCAAAACACTGGGTTGCAATATCCTGCTTTAAGCAACCCCAGACAAACTGCAGAAGAACAATGACCTTTTATAGCAGTTACTGCAAGAGGGGCAAGTGTCCAATTTAATTCAGAGGCTTACTTACTTACGTAGTTTATTCATGGGTTTTTATCCTAATCATGGGACCTTCAAGGAGTTGCAACATTAAAGCCAATACACACAGCCATCAGTTTAATCCCATTCAACAGAAGGACCCTTCCCCTCTTTTCTTCTGGTGGCTCACACCCTTAGGGTTCTGTCTTAAGGGGAGCTACCCCACAGCAGCAACTTGCAACATAAACTACTGTGTAAGCCTTCTCAAATGAACCCCTTCTTCCACTCCCAACCACCATGAACACCAGAATTCCTCTCCTGTCCAACAGCATGTTTTTGAACAGTTTTGTTTTCCTGATGCTATTCTTACACCTCAGAGGATCTTCCCCCGCCCCACCAAAACCTACACGAAACCACTCTCCTCATTCAGAACCTTCTCCTCACAACTCCTATAGAAAGGCCTGACTGCTAGCACACTGGTTTGTAGATATTACCTTATTATCTGCTGTCTGAAAGAAAAGACAGAAATAAGTTGTGGTTTTGCCCTGTCTGTAGGGAAGGCCCAAACTTGCTAAATCTCAGTTGACTGCTAGCACACTGGTTTGTAGATACTGCCTTATTATCTGCTGTCTGAAAGAAAAGAAAAGCCAGAAATAAGTTGTGGTTTTGCCCTGTTTGTAGGGAAGGCCCAAACTTGCTAAATCTCAGGCCCAACCATAAGACTCGGGATTGGTTCTGAATGATACAAAACACACTGGACTGCACTACCAATTGTCTTCTACTCCATGGCCCAAGAGACTTAACTGATCAAAGGGCCTTTTCCAGTGCTTCAGTTTGCTTCCTACAACTAGTACCACACCTGTGGTTCTACACTCCAAGGCACTGTGGCAGCAGCCTCAAACCAAGAGCAAATATGAAACTTGCAACAGATGCTGTACCATTCTCTATGCAGAAGTCTTCTGGCCGGCACATACAGCCTTCCCAGCAGCTGACAACAGAACCAGCCCTCACCACTAGACCACTCACAGCACCGTCCAGCCAGAAGAATGTGAGTGCTATGCTTACAAGCTCAGCATACCTCTCTAAATGCTACATTAAAAAATAATGGCAATTAGTGCTTTCATCTGACATCAGCTTGTACAGACCTGAATCAGACCATAGGAGAATAAGAATCAGAGTAAGAAACACTCGCTTTACACTCAGATCACTCTTCTGCATGATAATTAAACATTTTCCTAGACTGAGAGCCCAAATTACATGAAAAAGTACACAATACAAAGTTAAAAAAATATGGTAGCAGAGTAAAAAACTTTAGCATACTGTATTCATTTCATATTTGGGGGGATTCATCCACAATTTTACTTTAAGAAAAAAATACTGATATAACCTCAAAATATTATTTCCATTTGCTGTATTTTATAGCTATTAATTTCCAAGTTTCCTGTTAGGTAAAGCAAAGCTTCTTATCCAGCTATGCATTAACAATTTTTTTTGAGTCTGAAGAAAAGGCAAACATGTTTAAGATGTTCCAATTATTCACTACATGCAGTTTCCTACAAGGCAGAAATTCTACTTAGAAAAAAATATTTATAATTAGATCGTGATTTGTCATAACTAGTGAGTACTTGATGCTCAAAAGTCCCTATGCCTTTTATACAAAATACCAGCATTTATCATGCCACCCAACTATTTCAGAACATTTCACCTGAGACAGAAGGGCAAGCTACATGTGCAGGGAAGGGGAGATGGGGGTGCTAGCCACACTTGACATTTAAAAAGTTAATTCTCCTTTCCTATGATATATTTTGATAACCATTTGTTCTTCAGAACATACACATAGACTAATGATTTATAGTGGAAAGATTGCATGGAACAATTAGAAATACTTTTTTAAAAAATATTCAATACACAAAAAAACTGTCAACACAAGATGCTTTGACTTGACAATACTCTTCACAGAGCAGTTTCAAGATGAAATTAAATACACTGATTACTTCAACACAGTTCAAAAACTTCTCCAGCATCAACAATATTAAATGCTTGAGTTTGTTTTTGACCGCAGCAATACTTAACTGAGCAGAACTACCAATTTTAGGTATTATTAAAGATAGATTTTACAAAGATGGTAAAATGTTTAAAAGAATATTTCCCACCTTATCTCTGTTCTTTCCTGAAATGAAAACATAGACTTTTTTTGAAACTTTTACAGCTTTGGAATACCTATCAGCTGCAATTTATCAAAGCTTGAAGTATATTCCCTTGGCTAACATTAACTATGAACATATCCAAGTTAATCACAACTCACGACTGAAACTCAAACACAGTATTTCGGGACAGGTACTGAAAATTATTTAATGGACATACAGCACAGTACAATTCTTTACAAAGCTGAACTGCAAGGATCAAGAAGGCTTTGCCACTACCACTACACATTGCAGAAAGCAGGAAAAAGTAAGATATAGCAAGACCAAAGCAAAGATGATTAATAAACAGTTAAATTCCAGCCTATTCTCCTTTTTCACTCAATTCTAAAATTGCCCTAAGCTCCATCAGAAAATTCTCACTACAAATAGTTCACTTTATCAAATTAATGACTTAATGAAATCATTAACAATTGAAATTTTAAGCATCAACAGCTTCACGTTAATGCTAACTTTCTGACACTAATTATTTTGTTTCCAGTTAACCCTCTACCCTAAGACTCCAGCTCTGAGAAAGACACCATTAAACAATGTAACCTCACTCATTTATACACCAAGGATCTGTCACATGCAGGTCTTACCTGATTACATACAACAGAAATCGTTCCAGATGTATCCCTAAAATGCAAATAAGACATTTGAAGATATAGGCATTTCAGCTTTAAAAGAGCTAAATACATATATACGGTAACTCAAATTCACGTACCGTGTGAAAGGGTTATTTGCTTCACTGTCTTCTGGCGCTTTTATACTAATGCAGTCTCTCAGTGGTATCTGCAGCAAGTTATAAAAATACATACTCCTTCTTAAAAGCTTTTTAAAGAGAATCTTAAGTTACTAAGAAATTGTAAGGTTGCACTGCTTACTTTGATAATGGGTTGGATATTGTCATCAGGTTCAAAAATGACTGACTTTGAACAGATTTTTAGAGAGCCTCTGAATTTTCTAAAAGGAACAATAAAGAGAAAGTAGTTGTGCATATGTTAGAGATACATGAGACTAGAATGACTCCAGTAAATAAATGTATGTAAAAGTTTTGTACCTTTCGTCTCTGCAACCTTTATTTATAATATGATTAGCTGTGTGCTGTTCAAAGTAATATTCTTCCAGGTTAAGAAGAAGCAGTGAAAACCTACAAATAAATAAAAATCACTTATTCAAAAAGAAAACATCACAAAAGTTAGTGTTAATAAGATATATAAAGTGTTTGAGAAGTCTTCATTGATTTCTATGCTGTGCCCCACATCCCAAGAATGAATCAATTCAAATTAACTTTAAAAGAACAAACCCAGAGGGAAAATTTGTGTACACGTGAAAAAGATCTTCTGATGCTGTTCCAATGTATGTAAGGTTAGAGATTTGATTCTGTTCCTATGTCTCAGATGGGACCTATGCTAACACAGTCAGGCTCTCCCCCCAGTAAACATTAGTTTGTACCAGTCAAAATAGGCAACGGCACAAAAGGAGGGGCAGGAACTAAGGAAAGTGAAGGGGCTGGAGAACAAGTCTTATGAGGAGCAGCTGAGGGAACTGGGGTTGTTTAGCCTGGAGAAGAGGAGGCTGAGGGGAGACCTTATCGCTCTCTACAACCACCTGAAAGGAGGCTGTAGGGAGGAGAGTGTGTATCTTTTCTCCCAAGTAACTAGTGACAGAACAAGAGGAAATGGCCTCAAGTTGCACCAGGGGAGGTACCTATTGCATGTCAGGAAAAATTTATTCACTGCAAAGGTTCTCAGGCACTGGAACGGGCTGCCTAGGGAGGTGGTTGCGTCACCATCCCTGGAGGTATTTAAAAGACAGGTAGATGAGGTGCTCAGAGATATGGTTTAATAGTGGACAGGTATGGTTGGACTTGATGATCTCAAAGGTCTTTTCCAACCAAACAATTTTATGATTCTAATCGTTTGGAATGGAGGAGATAAGATCTTTCTGAAGCAAAGCCAAATTACACTGGTTTAAATTGTTTCAGTGAAAACACAGTCATGGTTTTTACACCACAGCTAGGCCACTCAATGGATACACTCTGAGGAAGTACTTCCGTCCCCTCCAACCACAATTCTGCACTGCCTCTGTGTCAGTGCCTGTCCAACCCCACAGGAAGCCTGTTTATGAAGTAATCCAATAGAAACAAACCTCAGTAATGAAAAAATAAAAAAAATAATAAAAAATGGAAGTCTTCTAAAGTATTTAATTGCAGGATCATAGTAATGCCAGTGCTGGTCCAAGGAACATGTGAATAGGCTAGATGAGACAGAATATGAAACTGCATTCTCCAGCGACTTAACTTAAAAAACTGTTGCAAGTGATTAAAACTCACCAATTTTACTAACAGGGTGAACATACAGTCACGTCTGCTTTTCAGCTGTGGGGAATGACACTGAGTATTGGCACAGCAGGAGGAGCAAAAACATCTTACTTCAGTTGGAAGTAGAACAGCTTGTTTGTATTCAGTTTGAAGTACTTGGTATTTATTCACATCCACGCTTTGAGCTTTTTGTACTGTGTTCGTGATGTGCTTCACAAGGAATGCCCGTGACAATGCTAATAAACGCCAAGTGTCCCCAGAGCAGTATTCAAACAGCAGTAAACATGCCGAGAGTTCACAAAATGAACTGAATGTACTGAATAGCCTGCTCGTTAAGGAAGCATATTTCACAATAGAAAAACCAGCACTATTGGAAAATACATCTCCTTCAGGTAAGATTTGTGTTGTGTCTTTGTTATATTAAACAAAATATAACAATAAAGGTTTACTGTAACTACAAGTAATAGTGGGTCCATATACTCAAAACTACTTGCGTGTCCAAGACACTTTGTCCTAGTGCTCTACTGCTTTTTCAAAATGTCCTCTCTTGAAAACAGGTATTTTATGATACCATTAAGAAACAACTGATGTTAAAATGTTAGAAAAACATGAGCAAGAACAGTATATGCCATACAAAACTCCTTAAGAAAATTCAGCACAAATCTCAGTCTCTTCAGCCTCTGCCTCAGTTGCTGTTATTACGGGGCTTTTGAATATCCATAGTTTCCAACGGAGTTTTAGGGGCTTTGCCTTCACATATTCTTTCTCAGAAGACATAACTTCAGTTGCCTTCAGTTTCCCATAGAAGTCCATTCTTCAAACTTACTGCCACCTATGACAGTCTGTCCTATCAACAGGTGTAAACTGAATTTCCAAGTTTGCAGTCCTGAAGCCTTTGAAGGAGCCAAATCATTCTTTTCATATTTATTTTGATCACTCATCATCAGGAAGCTAAAATAGAAGGTCTAGCTCTGTGTTGTGAGGAAAAAAAAGCTTCACTAGGAACAGTCTACAAGCTAAGGAGGAAGAGGATTATGAAACCATAGCAGCTTCCACACAGTTACCAATAAATGGGATTTTTCAACACATCTTCCAGTTAAAATTATTTGGGACAAACTTAAAATTTCTGGGATTTTGCAAATTCAGATCTAGCAAGTGCTATCCCATTTTGTTTGAAAGCATTTTAATAAAGCTATGTTCAGATCTATAAAGAGCAATTCACTATCAAAATGTTTTTCTTTCTAGTACACATAAGCATGTACATTCAGCTTATTATCCACAAGCAAAAATATTTAAATAGAAAATTTAATAACAAAGGTAATACCCAAATTTGTTTGAAAAAAAATCTTTTATTCTTTCTTTCATCGGGAAACAGACACTATTGACATAGGGAACAGCCAGCTTCACAGCTATGACATTCATGGTCCCACAATTTTTATTCCAAGAAAATGGGTAAAGCCTGGTTGACAGAACTAATTTCTGAAATTCTTCATTCTTGGGCTCTTTCCTTTGTTTCCACCTATTCTTTTGTCAAGCTCTCCATGTTTTTATACTCTTTCCAAATTCACTTGGCAGTACTGGTAATACTAGACTTTCCTTTAAGTTTCTGGTAAATGCAGGAATCCTTTATATATTAAAGATAAGCCATGTTTTTACATCAAAACATTGACTTCTGTTATTCACAGTAACAACATCATGCTTACATAAGCCAAAAATACATAAACCAAGAGAGTTCTGGTTTAAATTTTTCAGGATAACCATCCCCTAGAAACTGTTGTATCATTATATACTCAAAACCTTAGGCATCAATTCATCTTCCCAAAATCAGAATCTGTGGGCTACTGGGAAAGATTTGATGTACACTTCCCCTGGCATCATCCTCACTTCTGCTGAATCAGATGACTTCATGAAAAAATAATGTACAAGGTACACGCAAAAACTCAAGGCAAACCCTTCATGTCGGCTGGCTAGCTACTGTGGGAAACTACATACTTCTTCCTTTTAAACACAATATCTACTAGCAGCATCCACTTTACCATTTTGCTATTAGTCTCTCTGTGTCTCTCCCACACATCTACTCACTATCCAGTTTTACAGAGACAGCATCACTGTAGAACTCCTTGTTGGACACCAATAACCTCCTACATTGTCATCTCATGCTGACTTTCTGATGTCAGCTTTGCTGCCTTGAAAAGGGTAGCCCGTACCGCTGGCAGCTGTTACAGCATTTTTCTCCAAATATTGTACGTCATATAGGCCAAGTGCGTTTTCCACATTTTATCCCTCCCCTCACGCTCTCCAGAACCTTCCAGGTGGTTCTGCAGTCTCTTTCAAGCATTTCTATGCTTGTTACTACTCTCCCACTTGCAAGTTCGTTTACACTAACTGCATTTTCCTCTATTTTCAGTCTACAACGAGTCACTTCTGCAGGCAGACAGAGCCAGACATCATCTGCAAACTTCTCAAGCACCTGTTACAATGGGGGAAAACTTAGAGCCTGTCCAAAGATTCCATCACAGAAACGGTGCCTTTCAAGATTCTTCTTTTCTTGGCTATACCATATCCCGCAGACTACATGATGTCACTGTCTGCTTCTGCTTCTTAACCAAGACAAAAGAACATCACAAGCTAAGAAGTATTGCTGGTCTTTTTCCTGGAGTCCAACTGCTTGCATACAAAGATCAAGACTGTGTTTCACTCTTTTTCATTATAGTGCCAGTGTGTTCCAGCTCACTGAAAGTTTTTGCATTTATTTTTTCTCTCGCTGTTCTCTTTCAGTTGCTTGTGACAATAGCCCCTCTTCACCTTTGTTCTACAAATAAGTTTTCAAGTTATAGTTACAATACCACAAGTAGAAACAAAATTTTCAAACTTACGTCTCAACCACTGGGATGTATTTGGCTAACAAATCTAGACTAGTTCAAGTTAATGCTAAGTACAAACCTTGGAGATCATGAAGCATGATAGCTGGAATTTCTCAACTCTTATCAGCCTTGACTGCATAAGTATTTAAATTTAATTTGTCTGTATTAATGATCCATAGGGTTGTCAAAAAAAGGAAAAGTCAGGCTCCATCAGATGTTACTAGAGTACAGTCAGAGCTTTTTATCTTCACAGAACAGACTTCTTACACATAAATAAGTAGAGCCACGAATAGTTATTGTATCAACAGGGTCCCTCTTGAGAACCATCATTGCCCAGGACGATACTTCAGGCTTCCCAGGAGGTTTAACAAGTATTTACAGTAGCAAGGGAACAGATCAGTCTCTGGTAAGTTGCATTGGTAGGCAAACACAGTGTTGTGAAGGCCTCAAAAAAATAGAAAACCAATCACAACAGCTGTATAATTAAAGCAACAGGGATCTTCAACATTCCACTAAGCAGCTGGACTTTAGGCTGATTGTCTTCCAAAGCACTAAAGAAGGTATTCCAAAGACTACTGTGATATCAAAATGAGTGACATACAAAATTTACGTAATATCAACTGCTGTATAGTCCTATGACAGAAATTTGCATGCATGCTTGGCATAGATCTAAAAATAGTAATTTAATTCTTCCGGGCACGACGGGGAAAAAAAAAAACAAAAAACATCAAAAACCCCCAAACTGAATAAACCAACCAGTAGGAAGTGAATGTGATGATACTCTGTATGAGAAACTGATTAAATCTCTAATAGTGGAGAACCATGTTTTGGTCTCAAGCCATTGAGCAGCTCTACTGTTCCCTGTGCTGAGTAATTAACAGCACATGCTGTAAGCCTATGACTAACCCGGGAAGAGCAGCCAGACCACAAAGTCCATGTCAAGTCAAGTACGACTAATCAAGTTTGTTCCCAGTCTATCCTCCTTTGCCTTCCATCTGACCACAAGACATCAAAAAAACTCAACCTCGGCAATTAAGTCAGGCAAGCTGGTGTTCCAGTGAGAAGAACTGAGCAACTTCAATAATGCAATCAGTTCCCCCAAAACAACCAAAGAAGAAACCTCTAAATAAATACCATTTTTCCTCCAAAAGCAAATCATAAGGTATTAACTGGGAAATGTATGGCAACACTATCATATCTAAAATGAAAAAGCTGTTCATTTGTTTTCTTTTAAATTATCAGCAAGAGATAGTATCTGGAAAACAATTCTATTTCTAATGAAAACACATTTTTAAAAAAGCAAAGGGATCTTCTATAAGTGCCTGCTGCTCTAAAACCTTGTATTCCTATGATACAGTAATAATTGCATATAAAAAAAACATTTCAGGCAAACACAAAAGGATCAAGTATGAGATATTTTTCTTAGCATCAGCTGGTTGCTCATTTTAACCCATTTTCAAACTGTATAACCCAACTGTTACTTGAAACTTCCTAACTATAAATGATTTAATCAGCATTTATTAAAAATCTGCATAGAGAAAGATGCTGCTGTATCTTTTCTTGGAAAGCAACTCAAACATCTGATGATGGAAAATCCTTTGACATTAAGCAATAAAATGCACACCTTACAGTGTATTACAGGATATTTTTATGCTCCTTACTTAATAAATACACATTTCAAAGGTTTATGTTAACAAATTCTGTGGTCATCATGCTATTTAGTGGCCCACAACAGACTGATGAAGTCAGTAAGCCACAGTCATGTCTTCAAGGATCATTTACCATTTTCTTTTCTATATTGAACTTGACATACTA